ATAATCATCAGATATAAGCCCTCCTTTATCATCCCTCAAGGGTCCTACTCCCATCCTAACATTTTTTAACATTATTGTATTTAGAGAAATCCTTTCTGTTAATTTCTACATTTTCAGCCAACCTTTTCTCATAGATTCTTTTTGATGTCCTAATTTCCTCTTCCACCAACTTTCTTGATCTTCTAAGTCTCCTGTCATACCAGTTAATTTAAATTTCTTTAATTTATGGTGCTTTTCTTTAATTTTATCTCTTATACTCTTTGCAAGCCAACCTGGTTCTTTACTTGCAGCTACCCTCTTATTTCTATAAAGTATATGTTTACCTTGAATATTTCAAAATTTAACTTTTAAAAACATTTTCCAAATCTGCTCAAATAACGACAAATAATTCTTGTTGCATCCCTTCAACATTTGCTTTTTTGAAATTTGTAACCAAAATATCATTAATCTCCATATGCAGCAAAACAGTGAACCTAATAGAGCAATGATCACTAGCACTCAGATGTTCCCCAATTTCCACCCTCTCGATCATTCCTATATATGAAGTTAACAATTAATCTAAAATAGTATTGTTTCAAGTAGATTCCTTGACTAATTGGTAAAGAAAGCCATCTTGAACAGCATTTCCCAATCTATATGCCTGAAATTAAAATCACCCATTATTATTATTACCTCATTAACAACAGCTGAAATCTTAATCTCATTGCAAAGTTTCTCACTAATTTCATGCTATTATCTTTCATATCTTCAACAGTATGTAACTCACATTTTACATATAAAGCCACTCTTCCCTCTCTCTTTAGTACTCTATCCCTATTAAATAACCTATAACCCTGTATTTCAAAGGAAGTTCTGTCATAAAAATTGTCTACATTTAACCACATTCCAGTTATTCCCATTATATCAAAATCCTCCATTCCTACCAGTGCTCTAAAGTCATCTATTTTATTTCTTATACTTCTAGCATTACAATAGTAACAATTAAGTCTACCCTTATAACTACTTCTATAATCATTTCCTAAATTAAATTTCTTCTCTGCCACTTATCATTTTGCATTTAGTTTATCCCGGCCCTCACCACTGTCTAGTCCTAGTTTAAACTTCCCTAACAAGTTACAGCCGAGTTAACAGCCATAGCAAACAAACCAGCTCCCTTCTTCCACTGAACTGATCCCACAAGTCTAACCAGCCAATTTGCTCATCCTTACATACTAACCTAAGACTACCATTTAGCCATAGTGACCTACTTATAACTTCATCCCAACAGTTAATTCTGGGCAGTATCCCCAACAAAATTAAGTTATGATCTTTTTCTTTAAATACCTTTATCAACCCTTTGTACTTATCAATTAGCTTCTCTGACCTACCTTTCCCTACACCATTAACCCCTACGTACACCACAAAAACTGCATCTTTGCTAGCCCCCTTTGTCAGTTATATCCTCCATCTGTGCCCTAGGTTGTATAAACTGATTCTTTTCTCCCTATTTACTCCACAGACTGTCCTATCCACATGCTTTGTTAGGGAATTGCCTATAACTTCCTTATCCTCTACATTCTTCTCTGTCCCATTTGATTTCCTTCCCTTCAATAGTTCCTTGTCTGCAGAAGCCAAGGGCTGAAATATGTTGTTCAATATAATAGACAATACAGACAAATTATCAAGGCACTGGCAATGAACTCGCTAAATTTGTCTGCAAGTATAATGCAGCATGGATATGTTGTTGGAATTTGCACCCAAGTAACAAGAAAATTTACCATCTTGCATTTAAAAGAAATACTGCTTTAGTTCTGATAAAATCTTGAAGTTCAAGCAACAGAAAACAAGCTAGTAGTGGTAGAGATACAAATTTAACCATAGATGTGCAATTTAATGGACAAGGCTATGAACCAACATATTGTACTCAGAGCAGATGCATTTCTTAGAAAAACACAAGATTAATATGCAAAAAATATGAACTACATCTTCATTATAGCCAAAAAAACTTGCTGTCTCAATATTTATCCTTCAAAAGAATGCTTTCAAGCTCAGTGTTTGCAACACTGTTTTTAAAATTATTTTTTTTTGGTTACTAGCCTGTGTTACTTAACAATTAATCAGTTTTAAGTTATGTAATTTTTTTTTATTAAACATAAAAATGATGAAAGAAAATTGTTGTTTTTTTATTCCATCATCCACAATTTCTGTAACCTTTACGACCTGTTAGCCTAACATTCTCAGTCATATGGGAACATTTAATCATTATGCATTTTCAAAATGAAGAAATTAAATTTCTTTCAAGACTGTAAAAACAAAGTATCCTGAGTTAATAAGGTATCTTCTCTTAAACATTAAGCAATTAACGTGAAAAAATTCTTTCTTCTTTGGTAAGTCGATAAAAATTAAAAGGTTAGATACCAGGTGTCATTTATTTGCCCAATGATCCAAATCCCGTTGTAAAACTAAAACATCATCATCTCACAATTAGTCAGTAAATCACATTCACAGTCAACTAACTTACAAATACAATTCAGTTTTATACCAAAAATTCGGCAATCTTGACAAATTTGTTAACCATTTCTTTAATTATTAATAAGCAGATATTTTCTCAATTTAGAATTATATTATGACAGTTTTAAACATACATGACACTGATAATATTAATACAAATGGTGCCAGTAACTGTAAGTTGTAACTTAAACTTATTCGTAATACTAATAGTATTGCTAATTACTACTACTACTAGGACTAATGAACATAAAATGTTAACTTATGACTCGACTAAAATAGACCAGAAACTGAGAAAAAGAATCAGATGTAGTATCTTCCACGTATAAAAAAACAGAAATAAGTTAAACTTACCTTAATAAATGAAAATTATGGAAAATTCTGTTGATACTGATAGACACTGCTTTCTTTCCTCTACGTTTACGCCTACTTTGACTCTTCCTTCCTTCGAACTAGAAAACGATCTACAAGAAAAGAAAACCAACCGCTTAAAACAAATTTTGACGGAATTTAGATTTTAACTACTTGTTTGCTGATTGGTTGTTTGACATGTGACGTTAGTTGAAATTCAAATATTTAAATATTGGTTAAACGTTATATGGTCACATAAGCTAGTTTTGGAAATCAAAACTTAAGTTTTAAATTCGAATGTAACCAAATTTAATTTACTTGAGCCTTCTATATCCCATATTTAATTTTCTGTTATAATTTAATATAAGTCTGTTTTATTGGACGATAAAAAAATTTATATTTGGCAAAATCCCAAACTCCCTACTACATATATATATATATATATTTTATATGAATATGCATCGCTTTAAATATAACCAAATATAAGAAAGTTTAAATAACATATATCTGAAAAATTGAAACATATTAGTTGAAATACTGACTAAAATTAAATAAATTTGTTTGAAAGAAATGTTCTTCGTCAGATAATTATTTAATTAATTGTTTGTTTCAAAACTTTCACGCAGTGTTACTGAAAGTGTTAGCTTCTATCTTTCTTAGCGCAAAGCTATCTGCACTCTGTCCACCACAGTGAATCGAGACCTGCATTTTAGTGTTGCCAGTTCGTAAACTTCCCGCTGACCCAATGGAGAACTACAAAAGGAGGATACCTGCGCATAGCCGTTCTTAATTTTGAACTGATAAACAGGTCAATAACTCTCACTGTCAGTTCTTGGGATACACTTATCTCGCCAACCATCACTGTTATATCTTACCCATGGCCCAAATTGCGGAATTTTGTTTTTGCGGAAGTAAACCACGAACCTTGAATCCTAGGTTTCACAGTCCGATCACGCTAACCACTAGGTCAAACCCAGCCTCTTATAGCGTATCTTTACTATGTACTAAAGGTTTCAGTTTTGTTGTCGTTGTTTTTAAGTTCTATGTTGGAACATGCTCTATCCGGTTGAGGTCATGTTCTAAATCCAGCCTGAGGTGTTACTTTCTGTAGATTGTCTGTAGTGTTCAGTCAAGGAAGTTATCTGTTATAAAATAGAAAAGTTGCGCTTTATTTTACCTTATGGATTCCCACATTTTTACAATACACATAAGTAACAAGGTAGTTTTTGGGGAGGGAGTATATATTACTATGATATACATTTTATTAACGTCTAATAGTTCTCTCATATATTAAATTTTTGTCTTGTTTACAGTATAAAACTATTCTATGATCATTATTAAATAAATACTGGTAAAATAAAAATATGTTTATGTTTTACTGTAGTGTTCTGCGACCTATCCCGATACCTCTTGCGACCAACCAATCTGTCGTGACTCTCAGTTTCAGAATGGCTTTACTTTTTATTTACTGTGTTAGAAAAAAAAAAGATTACCCCACCTCTTTTGTGAAATGATGCTCCTGGTCAAGCCTCCAAATATAAAGTGTCTGTTTGCTTTGAATTTTGCGCAAAGCTACACAAGGGCTATCTGCTCTAGCTGTCCCTAATTTAGCAGTTAAACACTAGAGGGAAGGCAGCTAATCATCACTACCCACCGCCAACTCTTGGGCTACTCTATTACCAAAGAATAGTGGGATTAACTGACCGTCATATTATAACGCCTTCATGGCTGAAAGGGCGAACATGTTTGGTGGGACGGGGATTCCAACCGGCGAACCTCAGGTTGCGAGTCAAGCGTCATAACCACCTGGCCATGCCGGACCCAAATACAAAGTAATACTAACTCTTTTTATTACAGTCCTTATTATAAACATAGAGTGTTCAGTCGCTTGTATAGAACAAGGGACTGTCACTTTTTCTGGATTCCCTCTTTCAAACGTCTTTATCCTCAAGACATGTCCCACACTGTCTAAATCTAACGTTACTTAGCTTGCAAGAAATCGTATTTACCCACAGCACATAGCCCTCTACACGTCGCTGGTTATTCTCATTTCAACAAAAGTGAAGCCGTGACCTCTATACATCAGTTATACGACCATTGCAGAACACTATTGTTGCCATGCTTTTCACAACATGTAGTGTTCCAGGAATATACTCTATTGTTACGTCTCCGTGTGTTAATTGATTTTCCGTAACTTCGTACCGACGAAACTTAAGCGACACAAGTCTTTACTTAATAAAACTGGTTTATTCTTTCCGAATATAACTTTACCGATACACTTATTCTCAACAGTCGCGTTATAACAAACTATAATAACGAACGAACGTTAACTACAACAATACGTCTCTCTCTCTGACTGCAGTTCAATTACTCACTATCTACACCTTACCTCCCTGCTTTTATATACCAGCCTACCCTATATCTAACAATTACTTGAGCATTCCTGAAAGAACAAGATAGTTCTA